ACTTTAAGAAAGGAGAGTTTTTGTATTACTCTAATATCTTCTTAAACGTCTTCTCCTTACCTTGGAGATGTGGCTATTAAAGTGCACTTCCAATTTTCTTCAAACAGCTTTGACCTATGCTTCCACCTCATGAATTCCAAGACAGTATTAAGCTGATGCATATTTTCATAAATCTGGGGGAAAAAAGTTATTTAAGAAAGTACTATTATTTGTCAGAATACGTGAAAAAGTACACTAAAAGTATTTCACAAGTAAAATTACACATTTTCAAAGTAAAGTCAGTGAAAAGTTTTTAGAAACCCATTGCTTTACCATTTTCCCAACCACTGACCAAGTAAGTATGCTGTTAATTATGTGTGAAAAAAGTAATCACCTGCGAAATTTCCACGTTAGGTTAACATTTTGAGGAACAAAACACTTATCTCAATTTGAAAAATAAACAAAACAAGAACTGCTGTACACGTCTATAATATTCAGGTTCTTATTTAGGCAAAAACATATCTAACTACTTAGCTAGTATCCCCTTTCCTCTTTTATCACAAAGTGTTCATAGCCCCTGCAGCTACTACCTACAATAGGGGAAGATTTGGTCCAATTCTGTGGGACAGGTCTATGCAAATTAACACTGTCATCATGATCCTAATGGTTCATGTGACAAACATTCACACAACTAAAAAGATGAAAAAGATTTAAAATTTTAATTTAATTTTAAATTTATTATGCATGGTATTTATTAGAGATTTAAAATTTTTTCATTGACTATCTTTTAACTAAAACTTTAAATTGCGAAGTACGTCCTTTTCATCAAGGACAATTTTTTTAAGCTGTATGAGCACCCATTTCCCATTCCAAGGGCAAATGCCTTTGTCTTCAAGACCACTTGCAAGAATCATTTGTGTCACACTGAGGTTTCATGTCCTGGCAGTAATGTCTCTACTCCCATCGACTGGGCAACCTCAACCTGCTAGCGTATCAGATGGCAGTCTTTCTTCAGAACAGGGGTCTCCACCAGGCAGACAGGCTGTCGAGATCAGCTCAGTCTTTCCTGGTCCACACACAGACGTGACCCTGAGAGCAGTTAGGGCACTTTGTCTGTGCCAACGCCTTCTGATAGATACACCAGCTCCCCACAAGGGATCCCTCCCTAACGGTTTTCATCACACTCATATGACTGGAAAACTCCACAGGGTGTCACTAAGAAAAATGAGAGGCGGCAGAAACAAAAACCTGGGTTTTTTTAGATTAGCACGCACAAGCCCCGGAGTTCAACCCCCAGCACCATCAAAGGAGGGAAGGGAACCTAAGACATGCTAAGGGAAATCAAGGAAGACTTGACTTTAATACTCAGATGTAAATAGGCAACCAGAGGAACACGTGTGCTTTATAATATTGGTCTACAAATCATTTTTTATGTATCAGACATTGTATGAATAAAGTAAAGGTCAAAATCTTTGCATGGATACAGGATTTACATAGGCAAAATGTTCCAAACAATTGAAGCCACTTAATTTACAGTGTATTTTCCCACAGGATTTTAGCACTGCAAACTTGAGTTCAACAAACATAGGTGACACTAGTCAAAACCAAACACTATATAAATATAATAATTTTTTCACCAAAGATTTTGTTTCTGAATTTTTCAATCATGTTAATTGTAGAAAACACACTAAAGAGCAGGTAATTATTTTAAAAATACACCTGAGCATCTTAATGACTTGGTATAAAGATCAAACCTTTTAAAATATAGTCAACATTTTCTAATTCAGAGCTAACACTAGAATTTCCTCAAAGTTAATTATTTAAAAATAAATGTGGGGGGCC